ACACCTGATAACAATTATTATCCAAATAATTGAACTTATCAGACGATTAATTGTATTATCTTACCTAACTAACTAACTCAAATTTATGTTAGTTTAATTACCTTCTCATTGGGTTTTAATGTATTGTCTTACCTAACTAACTAACTCAAATTTATGTAAGTCTAATTACCTTCTCATTGGGTTTTAATTGTATTGAATTCTCAATCTTTCGTTGATTATAAGTTTACCTACTTGAGCCAAATCCTTATGCTCCAAATTTTGGCATCATATTATTGAAACCTTGATGCATGATTATCTACACGTATACGTTATGTAGCAAACCCTTTTTCATATTGTTTTGTTCCATTCCACAGCAGACATATCCAAACAAAGGGAACAGAGTAGCAAAAACTTTGCTCAACGTACTTGAATCCTATCATGATGACAGCAGCGACAATGAAGCTGACGATGACGATTGTTTTAGCTGGTGTTATCCAACGGAGACAAAGTCTATGCGCAACAACATTTATGCCTTCCTCAAATCCATATCCGAGACGTAAGTTATGTATAAAGTTCACTGTCCTACAGATTTACAATCTCATTTAGTGTTACATGCTCTAATGAACAGAGATAATAACAATGAACTATTGGAGATATTGGTTACATTCTGGAATCTGTTTAGATTTAAGCCATGTGTCATAATCACAGTATCCTTATCCTTTGACTTACGTGGGAGCATGTTATACATATAAGTTTGTTTCTACATAACAAGATTAAAACTATTTCAATATAATGCATATGAGATTAAAACTATTCCAAATCGTATTCTATATAATTTGTATACGAAACTATAGTTTATCACTGAAATTGACATTTTTTTTAAGAAAACGTTTTAGCATAAGAAAATAGTATGTTGTTTATCAGTCTTCATATGATAACAATACACTTTATTAAATAGATCAAACAACAGTCATTAATATTCCATTTTATTGAATAGGTCAAATAATGTAACACAAGTCATAAAAATTCCTCTAAAAAATACAAATTTGTTACATATTGCAGGTAATTTGATAAGTAAGATTCTTTTGAACAATTGAGAATTCACGAATTATCCATGTAGGCACACTGTTTTGCTAGGAATGGTAGGTTTGGTGATGGTGTTCAAGAGGACACGTTTGAGTTCTACAATATCCTCCTCAGTACACTTCAAGACGAAGCCCTAGAAAACATCCGGGTAACGTAAACGCGTTTCTTCTTAGCAATATGTCGTTTAATATATTATTTATGGTTCATGTTATGTAATCTTAAATTGAGTTGTGCTAATCTCAGTCTTGATGTTCGAGTTTGGCGAAACATGTACGAGTGAAAATAAGTCCACTATAAACTTGATAATGTATTCACGGTACAGTAAGTAAGTGTATGATGCGATGTAACATAAACCACTACAATCTATATTAAAGCTCCTAATTGTATCATATTAACTTATATAAGTTCTTTATTACTGTTAACTTAAGTGTGAATATATTTATTATGTTAGTTTTGTTTCGTGGCTATAGCCAGACCCTACGTTTTTTAATGGTTGTACATTTGTATATCATTATTTGTTATCATAATTGATGATATTTGTTTTGTATTTACAGCGTCCACTTCAAGATGATACATGTAAGTATGATACTTACCGTTACGGTGTGTAGCTAAATGCAGTATCACGTCTATGATGAAACATTAGCATGCATAGAAACCTAGAAACAATAAAAACGGTTCTGCTTGATTGGTCGATAATAAGAGTTTTTTTTATACAGTAGAAGTGTGAACTAAGTGTCCTATTATATAGTGTATGGACAAAACAGCACATTCTTATCTATCTTAAGATATTGTTAATAGACCAAACAGCATATCTTTCATCTTACGATATTGTGAACAGACTAACAGAACATTCTTCTTCTTCTTCTTTTCTCTGTGAGTAGCATTATTGTTACTATAAGAGAAATGTTAGTAAAATGTTCTTTTTGCAGACGATGAGCATATCATGCGTCACTGCGGTGCCTCACGATTGTTTGGTGGGAAGTTCTTGATGACCTATTGTTATGAGGCATGTGGACATGTAAGTTTACGTCTACACAGACGGATATCTTACTTACTTAGTTCTTCAACCAATCAGCTACATTAGGAGGTTCGTAGTGAATGCAAATGAATGTATTTGTTTAACATTCCTGCAAAACGATTACATCCTTACTGGATGAAGCCTGCCAGAGTTTCATGCTAAAATGGTGATGTGATCGATTTGCGTTTGAACCGGCATGGATGTTTAAACAATCGTTGAATATGTGTCTTTACAGAAATCCTTGGTGCTTTCGGTATTGAAGTGTCTGTATCGTCAGTGAAATAAAATTTCTAAAACAGCCGTACGTGTCCAAAGCATTCTGACGATAGTCTGTTATTATTTGCGACGCAATGAGAAGCTTCAAAATGATACTGATCTAACTGCGTTGACGCCCTATGGACATATTTACTCTGGGATTGTTTATATAGGGACTTGAAGCGGTAATATAAATATAGGCGAATGGATGCATGAATATAATCGTGAAAAAACAAATCAGTACTCTTTTAAGAAAAAGAAATTTTACAAATGTGAAAAGTAATCATATTGACGATACAGATTTTAGCAGGAGAAGGTGTTTGTGTTTACGCGGGCTTTTTCAGTAAAATATGGATGGGCTGCTTAAACGTTTTTGCTTTTTTGTATTAATGCACTCATGCATTCCCTGAGGAAAAAAATGCAAAAAAGCGCATGTATCTGTTTTTCTTGAGCAGGAAAAATCGACCATTTTTTCTTAATTTTCTAGGTTGATACAGTATTTCAGCCATTCACAAGTCTGAGCATACCCGTTACTAAGGTACGATTATTACAGTTACCGTATTTACTCTAGAGTATGTCTATGTACATGCTGCTTTTCTGATCATCTTTTATTTTAACTTTCATATCTGGCGAATGGAATCACTGGAATCAACAAAGACCTAGATGTAACTCGATTTGACGAGATGTAATTACGTTGTTTTGTTAGTAAACGAACTTGATGATATATTATACTCACTGCAATACTCACGCCATATATTATACTCGCATGTTTTGCTGACATTGAACTATTTGAACGCTATACAAATTGTTTTGAATCAACTGTTTTATTGTCATCCTGCTAAGCAGAATCCGGACGGTTTATCAAACTCCGCAGTGACGTTAACTGTGAACGACTCGGACGGGAATAGTGCATATTATGTTTCATCAGGGATCGGTGGCAAATATGGCAGTTTATCAGATCAAAACCAACTATTGAAAGAAAAAATGGATGTCGACAGCACAAATCGCATTGAGGTAAAATCGTCAAACATCTCCAAACCACCAGAGAGCAAACTTTTCAGTGGATTGTCTCTTGCTAAGGGCAACATGGATGTGATACAGACAGGTGTTGAATGGGGACTAGAGAAATTGACCGAAACAGAAACGATGGAGGCATCTGAGGTTTCCTGTCGAATATGTAAAGATGGTAATTCCTCTAACATTTCTAACAGTTGATTTAACCCGCGAAAACATATACGATCATGTATATAAATTCAACTAGTAGACAGTTCACATTGTTTTACTCAAAGTATGAAAGCCTATATTCAGAGTGATAAAACCCAATGTCGCAAAAATCTACAGGGTAACCGTATTAAAAAACCCTTGCTTTCATATAACAAAATAAAATAGAATGACTTCATTAAGTTCTTACTTGAAAAAGATTTTTTTCTGTATACATTGATAGTTGACTTTACCGACCGCTGATTAAAAAACTTATAAGGCAAAAGACAATGATTGAGCCCCTATTGATATTTGTAAAGCCTTGTTTCACTGTAAAATAAATAATTTTTGTTGACAGGAAACGTGGGCGTGTTGTACAAAAAGCTACAGGTGATCTCTCTTCCTCCGGTTCTGGTTTTGCAAATCAACAGATTCAATCAGGTACTGTTTTACATGTTATAACAATATATCGTTTTTGCTTTATTTAACCAAGGATTTTGGAATTTTTATCAGCACCAATATCAGTAATAAATACATATCTTGTGGTCGATATTTTG